GCCTCCCGGGTTCAAGTGATTCTCCTGCCTCAGCCTCCTGAGTAGCTGGGATTACAGGCGTATGTCACCATGCCTGGCTAATTTTTGTATTTTTAGCAGAGACAAAAATAATTTGCTATGTTGGCCAGGCTGATCTTGAACTCCTGACCTCAGGTGATCCCCCCCCCACCTCAGCCTCCCAAAGTGCTGGGATTACAGGCATGAGCCACCGTGTCCGGCCTCTCCATTACATTTTAATGTTGCCACAATAATTTTCAAAAGGTTGAGGGGGTTCACATTCCTGCCAGCAAAGCGTGAGTGCCTGTTGTGGCGAGGGCTGCGTGCCTGCTTTTTGACAAAATGACTTGTTTTAATTTGTTTCCCTGACCACTAGTGTGACTGAGCTGTGTCTCCTGTTACAGAAGAGTCTCTCCATTGCCAGCGCTCTGTGACTTAGCAGATGTCTCTGGACTTCTGTCTGGGGATTCTTATCCACCTTCAAGTTCACCAACCCTCAGCTGGAGCACTGGAAATGGGGACTCTGCTGCTTCTCTCCCTCTCTGGTGGGGAACTTGGGGCACAGGAACCTCAAACTAAGGTGACTCACTCAGGGGAGGGCAGTGGGAGGAGGGGGGCTTGGGCCCAGCCTGGGGCAGGGACTGCGTCTGATGGAGCAGTCCTGGGTGCTGGTGCTGACCATAGCTGCTGGGTGCAGCCCGGCACAGCACACTCAAATCATGGCTCAGCAAAATCCACGATCTGACTTCTGTGCCTTTAAATTGAGAACCGCCTAGGAGCCCCCTCACCCCTCAGCAGGGCAGAGGACGGCCAGCTGGCATTCCCGGGAAACAAAGGGTTTCTTTAAGGCTCAGCCGGGGCTTCCTTCCTCCCCGGCCAACACCTCCACCTCCGCTGCTTTGGCCTTCAGCGGTCTGGGCTCGTGGAGTCAGCTTCCCTTCCCCCGCTCCGTAAACCCTCACCCCCCGCTGCGGCGTTCAAAAGGTACAAACGGGTATAGTCCCTGCGGCCACCCCCACCCCCACCCCTGCCTCTCCGGCCCCCAAGGTCAACCAGTGTAGCCGGTGCTGGATCATTCCAGACATTCTACGCCTTTGATACACACAAATGAAACGTGTTTTTCTCCCTTTTCTACTCAAATGGTAGCGCTCTGAACACACTGTTCTGCCTGTTCCTTTCTTACAGCTTCTGCTGCATCTGGTAGACCATTTCTAAGCAGCACAGCGCTTCCTGTCTTTCCTGTTTCGGCCACGCTCTGTCGCATCTGGACCCCGTATGAATGACTTGAATGCCCCACCGGCCAGTGACACGCATGTAGGCGGTGCCACGTTAAGTCACTGGACGTGTGCAGTGTCCCACTTCCGTGAACGTATCTGCAGGGAAAATCCAGAGGTGCAATTCCCGAGGGAAGGTCATTGCTGCTGTTACTTCAGTGGACAAGTCCGGGATTCCCACTAGGCTCCCACAGCCTCTGCCTGCTGCAAGCAGTGTCTGTGGGCCGCAGTCTCACCTGTCAGTACAGTTTTTATTTGCCAATGTGTTAGGTGAAAGGAAAAAAAAGTCACTTTAACGGGGTTTTCCTTTTATGTTTTACTTTTTTACCCTCACATCCTGGGAAGGACACTTTAGTGTTTTGCTTTTGTTTTTGTTTTTTTTTCAGACGGAGCCTGGCTCTGTAGCCCAGGCTGGAGTGCAGTGGCGCGATCTCGACCTCGGCTCACTGCAAGCTCCGCCTCCCGGGTTCACGCCATTCTCCTGCCTCAGCCTCCTGAGTAGCTGGGACTACAGGCGCCCACCACCGCGCCCGGCTAATTTTTTGTATTTCTAGTAGAGACGGGGTTTCACCGTGGTCTCGATCTCCTGACCTCGTGATCCGCCCGCCTCGGCCTCCCAAAGTGCTGGGATTACAAGCGTGAGCCACCGCGCCCGGCCTGGAGAGGTTTTTAATTTGCATTTCTGCGCTGAGGGGGGAGGATCCCCGTATCTCTGGCAGCTGTCCTTCAGTGTCTTCTCCGGGAGCCTTTGTATGGTTGATTCAGAGCTGTTTATTACTACACTGTTACTAGTCTTATTAAGGTGAGCTCTGTGATGTGAGTTGCAAGTTGTGTCCCCCACCTCCCAGTTGGGGGCTCCTCTTTTTGACTTCGCTTATGTAGTTTGGCTCTGCAGACGCCCCCCACCCCCCTCCCACCCACGACGCGGTGGAACTTCTGGATTCTGTGCCACGCTTGGAAAAGCCGCCTTGGCCCCAAGACAGAAAAAGCTTCCCTGAGTTTTCTTCTAGGCTTTATCGCTTCCTTTTTTCGGCTTAAATCTTACATGATGGGAATCCATCCCGGTGCAAAGTACAACGACTTGACCACGCACCCGTCTGAATCGCCATCCCAATCGGGTACTACAGTCCCTAAGCACAAGCAGCCTTCTCGTCTGTGCATAAAAGCGTGGATCTGACACGCACCTGCAGCGGCTCTGCGGCGTGAAGGCCGGCCCAGGGGTCCCCGTGTTGAGGCGCCTGGCTCAGGCCCACGCGCGCCAGGCAGGGCAGGGCGCGGGCCCCTCTAGGTCCCAGGCGGAGGTCGGCGCCTCTGCGCCCCGCAGGCTCCCCGAGACCGCCACGGACGTCCCAGCCGAGCAGAGCTGGGACTCAGCGAACCGGCGGGGAAGCCCCGCGAAGCCCACGCCTCGGGGAGAATTTCCTGCGTGTGCCGAGCGCGCCCGGCGCGACCTCTCCGTCCTGGGACCCCCGCGATCCCTCCGTCCCGCGCGACCCTCCGTCCCGCGAGCCCCCTCCGGCGTCCCCCAGACCCCGCGTCCCCCGCTCTGTCCCCTGCGCGTCCCACGAGAACCCTCCCCCCGCGCCCGGCGTCCGCGACCCCCCGGTCCCGCCCCCCGACCCCGCCCGCGCCCTCCCAGCTGGGCCTGCGGGGCGGGGCCTGCGGGCGGAAGTGCCCGGGGCGACGGTGGCGGAGACCGGCCGGGCCATGGGCGCCGGGGGCAGAGGCGGCAGCGGCCGCGGAGGCGGCAGAGGCTGCCCGGGCGGCGGCGGGGGCTGGCGGCGCGGGACGCGGGCCGGGTAGCGCTGGGCCGAGCGCGGAGCCATGGGCCGGGCTGGCACCGGGACCGGGGGCGAGGCAGTGGCCGCGGTGGTGGCGGGGCCGCTGCTGCTGCTGCTGCTCGCCCGGCCCCCGCCTGCCTCCGCCCGCGACAGCGGGAAGAGCGGTGAGCGGGGGGCGCGGGCGCCATCGGGGGAGTGGGGCCGGGGCCGCGGGCGGGGCGGGATTGTGACTCATCCCCGGCGCACCTGTGCGCTCATCTGGCGCCGGCGCGGGGCTGGGGTCCCCGCCGCGGGTTGGGGGTCAGGGTGGCCCTTTGCAGCGCTTCGTGTCCGAGGGGTCGAGGCGGGCGGGACCCCGCTCTTCCTCCTGGTTTCCCCGAACTGGGTTGGGCCACATCGGCCCCTGGAGCGCCCTCTCCTCTCCCTCCTCCCTCCGGAGCGCTCGGGTCCGGCGCGCCCGGCGCACTCGGCGCGGGGAAGTTGAGGGGCCCAGGGGACTGCCCGGGACTCCAGATGGGAGGAGTGTCTGGGCCGTGAGCTCACCGGCCCCGTCCGGCCTGGGAGAGGGGCAGAGCCAGGAGAAAGTTGTTAGACACTGGAGCGGGGCCCGTGGGTGTCATGGCTCCAGCCCTTCCACAACGACCACCAGCCCTGGTACAGCCACTTCCCGCCGCCCGCCCGGCTTCTGGGAGGAGGGACTGAGGAAAGGGCGCCCCTCTCCCCTCTTGTTTGGAAACTTTGCATTTCTGTTCCCTGAGGGTCGCCGTCCCTGACTGAGGTCCAAGGAGCCGGCTGGACCAGGGAGAAGGTGTTGGTTGCCCTTCCAGGGTCTGTACAGGGTAGGGACGTGTGTGTGGAGACCGCCAGGCCTTGGCCACCCGGACATGCTGAGGACTTGCCCTGGCCTCTGTGGCCTGGAACTCTCTCGAAGGGTCGTGTCCTTGCCGGCTGGCTGGAAGGGCCCACACGTCCCCAGTCACTCGGGTGCCCAGGTTCCCTGCAGCTGATCCGCTGCTGTTCCCTGACTTCCCGGCCCCCAGCCTCTCCCCCGCCCCTGAAATATTGCTCCTTTGAGCTCCTGTTTCTTCTGGGGGCTGTGCCTCCTGCTTTCTGAGCTTGGCACAGCTAGAGATGAAAAGCAGTTTTCCCCGAGGACGGTGCCCGGGATTAAATTGCTCCCTGGCTGGGCGCAAAGCTCACGCCTGTAATCCCAGCACTTTGGGAGGCTGAGGTGGGTGGATCACCTGAGGTCGGGAGTTCGAGACCAGCCTGACCAACATGGAGAAACCCCATCCCTACTAAAAATACAAAAATTAGCTGGGTGTGGTGGCAGGCGCCTGTAATCCCAGCTACTCAGGAGGCTGAGGTAGGAGAATCCCTTGAACCCAGGAGGCGGAGGTTGTGGTGAGCTGAGGTCGCTCCATTGCACTCCAGCCTGGACGAAAGAGCGAGACTCCGTCTCAAAAAAAAAAAAAGAAAAAAAGAAAAAAAAAATCACCTGGGTGTGGTAATGTGAGCCTGTGGTTCCAGTTACATGGGAGGCTGAGGCTACCATGAGCCGTGTACATGGCACTGCACTCTAGCCTGGGTGACAGAGTGAGACCCTCAAAAAAACCGAAACCTTACTCCTTAGGAAACTGGCAAAGGAAATTCTCCTGTTCCAGAACTCAGGCCTGGTGAGGGGTCCCTGGGAGATGAAACACCTGGGTGTGGGCAGTGGAGAGGACTGATGGGCTGGCTCAGCCCCTCACTCCTCCCAGCCTACTGTGGAGCAAGTGCTCTGTGGCATCTGTGGGTGGTCAGGGTCTCCCATGGGTGCCTGTCCTGGTTTGGAGGATGTGGGTCAGGGGTCTTCACTCAGGTTCCCAGGACAGGGACAGGGACTTGCATTCCCACCTTCCTCACCCGGCCCTGTGTCCGTGGAGGGGCTGTGGGGCAGGCATGGGGGGTGTGTGGCTGGCCCTCCTCACCCTGTGGTCACCTCGGGCTCAGATAACCGCTAACAGCCTGGTAGTGTGGGCGATTTGGGCAGGGAGCTTGGGCTACAGAGCCCTGGGAGAGGCCCTGAGGGCCTGTGAGCCCTGGGAGTCGGGAACTGGGTGTTAGGACAACCTTGAACAGATCTCTTATCTCTGTGTACCTGCTGAAACTTCACAGCCACCAGCTGGGTTCTAGGCGCCCTCAGGCTGGTGCTCCAGGGCCAGAGGGGCTGAGGGCTTTGCCCCAGCAGGCCCAGGGGCTGTGTGCTGCTGGTGGCCTCCCTGCCTGTCCCCACAGAGGCCAGCTCTCTCCAGGACACCGTGGCCCCGGGGGCTTGAGTTTCCTCTGCCCACATTATCAGGCCACAGCCTGGTGGGTGGGACCTGGTGGCCAGCAGACACCTGGAAAGCCTGGAGTGCGTCGTGGGTGGAGCCTGCCCCTGCCCCTGCCCAGCCCCCAGGCCAGGCTCCCCTGGAGCTTGGCTTGGCTTTTCCGACAGGCTGCTGTTGGCAGGTATATCGTTTCTTCGGGTGCCTCTATGGGAGGGTCACCAGGCTGGCAGGAGAGCCTGCTGCTCACCTGTCTTCCTCCTCAGGAGGGGCCTGGGCCTGGGCCTGAGCCAGCCACTCTCCAGTGAGACCTAGGCAGGGTTCCTGAGTGCAGGATGGGGAACTGCAGTGGGGAACTGCAGCGGAGGGGAGGATGCCACACCCTGCTGTGTCCACTGTGCATTTCCTCCTGAAGCCTTTGTCATTAATTAACCTCAGAGGGAGGGGCCCCCAAAGGGACGTGCCCTCCACCCTGATCTACCCAGGAGAAGGCTGGAACCCAGGGAGGGAAGGATGCCCAAGGTCACGAGGTCGGAACTGGCACGGGGGCTGGGGGTGAGGGCCTGTGAGTCCTCGCCTGGGGCCATGAGCAGGATGTCTCCCACGGGCCCTTCTCCATCCCTGCACCAGGCATGGGCGCATTCCCTGAGGACAGTTAGGAGGCTTGCCCGCTTGGAATGCAGGGGGCAGCTGTCCGCTTGTTCTCATGGCTGGCCAGGCTTCTGGCCTGGGTCCCTCCCGCACGCGGGGTCTCCCTCTGGGTAAGGGGGAATTTGGGCTCTGGTCTGGCTGTGTCCGAAGGCATCATAGCCCAAGCAGGCAGCCAACCCATCCAGAGATGGGGGATGTGGAAGGCTGAGAGGAGGTGGGAGGGCCATGCCTTGGCCTTGGTAGCCAGGGCACCTGTGATAAGGGGCGGGGGCTCCTTCCTGACACCTGCTGGGTCCTTCAGCTTCAACCTGGGTTGGCTGTGGGGAGTGGGGTCTTCTAAGGTTGGAGGCAGTTAGGGTGGCGACGGGTGCTGAGGTGCCCTGGGACTTGTTTGGAAGCTGCTGCAGTGAGATGGCAGCTGTGACCGAGATGCCAGGAGGGTGGGATGTAGGTCATTTGGGGAGGGGTGGCAGAGGACTGGCTGAGGGGCCAGAGGGTGGCCGTGACCTTTACCGAGGTCAGAGTTGGTGTGCCAAGGGCTGCAGGTGGGTCCCCCGGGGCTTCCAGCCCTTTCCCTCTGCGGACCTCATCCTCCCCATCTGCGGCCCTGGAGGAGGGCTCCCAGCCTGGCTGACGCCTCCTTCTCCTCACAGAGGTGGGGCTGGTGTCCGAGCACTTCTCGCAGGCCCCGCAGAGGCTGTCCTTCTACAGCTGGTACGGCAGTGCCAGGCTCTTCCGCTTCCGCGTGCCCCCGGACACTGTGCTTCTGCGCTGGCTGCTGCAGGTCTCCCGGGAGGGCGGCACCGCCTGCACCGACGCAGAGATCACCGTGTAGGTGGCCGCCCGCCTGCCTGCCCACCCCCCGCGCCTGGCCAAGCCCTGTGCCTGAGCCCTGTGCTGCTCTCCCGTCTCCAGGCACTTCCGTTCCGGCGCTCCTCCCGTCATCAACCCACTGGGCACCAGCTTCCCAGATGACACCTCGGTGCAGCCCTCCTTCCAGGTCAGGGTGCCGCTGAGCGCTGCACCGCTAAGCAATGCCTCTGTCAACGTTTCCCACCCAGCCCCCGGGGACTGGTTCGTGGCCGCCCACCTGCCCCCGTCATCCCAGAAGATCGAGTTGAAGGTGAGAGGGGCTGCCCTCCGGGATAGAGGCAGAGAACCTCAGGGCGATGGCCAGTCCCTGCCATTCACCTCTTTGGGGTGGTCCTTGCTCTAGGCTCCACACTGCATTCTGGGGCCAGCCCTGCTCCCTGCATGCCTGGGGTTTCTAGTGGGACCCTGCCCTCATGCCTGCATTCTCTGACACCACCCCTGCCCACACCTGTTCTCTCCCTAGGGCTTGGCTCCCACCTGTGCCTACGTCTTCCAGCCTGACCTGCTGGTCACACGGGTGGTCGAGATTTCAGTCATGGAGCCGGATGTGCCCGTTCCACACACTCTCCTCTCCCACCCCAGCTACCTCAAGTGAGCGGGGCCTGGTGGGGCAGCCCAGCTCTGGCCTCCGGCCCCACCTCAGATTTGGTGGAGTGGGTGCGAGAGCCTGGCCCTGAGCCCTGGGGGTGGGCTGGGAAGTAGTCCAGATGCCTGGCCTCCTTGGGTCCCCACGAGGTGGCTGAGGAATGGCAGAGCCTGAGCCAGCCGTGTCCCCTTGCTGCAGGGTCTTTGTCCCCGATTACACGCGGGAGCTTCTGCTGGAGCTGCGGGACTGTGTGTCCAGCGGGAGCCTGGGTTGCCCTGTGCGTCTCACCGTGGGCCCGGTCACCCTGCCTAGCAACTTCCAGAAGGTGCTCACCTGCACCAGTGCCCCCTGGCCCTGTCGCCTGCTGCTGCCCTCACCGCCTTGGGACCGGTGGCTGCAAGTGACAGCTGAGAGCCTGGTGGGGCCCCTCGGGACAGTGACTTTCAGTGCTGTAGCTGCCCTCACAGGTGGGCCGCACAAGGGCTGGAGGGGTGGCCCTGCCCCTCCCCAGATCACTGGACTTTCCTCCAACCAGACCCCTTGTCCTCTCGGCAGCTTGCAGGCCACAGAGTGTAGCCATCCAGCCCCTTTTGCAGAGCAGCCAAAACCAGAGCTTCAATGCCTCCACTGGTCTGCCCTCCCTGAGCCCCGACCACCAGGATCTGGGCAGGAGTGGCAGCGTGGGCCGCAGCCCCTTCTGCCTCACAAACTACCCAGTCATGCGGGAGGACGTGGACGTGGTGTCCGTGCACTTCCAGCTCCTGGACAGGGTCTCGGTGAGGGTGTGTCCAAACACACCGTCCATGATGCGACTGCGCCTGAACACCGGCATGGACAGCGGGGGCTCCCTCACCATCTCCCTGCAGGCCAACAAGGTACCTGCTGTCTGCAAGCGGCCTGTGGCCTGGGCTCGGGCAGGGCGTCGGGCGGCCCCTGCAGGGCCTCCTCATTTACCTTGGCACTGGGACAGGCAACACAGTGACACCAGCAGGCATGGGCCAGGACAGGGGCCCATGTTGGGGGCGCCTACCCTGCTGGGCAGCCTTGCTTCTGTCAGCAGGGCCCAGGGTAGCTAGGGTCAGAGGTGGGGTGGAGGCAGGATGTCCCAGGGCCCGGGGAGGAAGGGTCCCGGTGGGCCCTGGGACTGCAGGAGTCTCAGAGAAAGGCACCAGCACTGACCGGGCACAATGACTCACACCTGTAATCCCAGCACTTTGGGAGGCCAAGGCGGACAGATCACGAGGTCAGGAGATTGAGACCATCCTGACTAACACAGTGAAACCCTATCTCTGGTAAAAATACAAAAATATCAGCTGGGCGTGGTGGCGGGCACCTGTAGTCCCAGCTACTCCGGAGGCTGAGGCAGGAGAATGGTGTGAACCTGGGAGGCGGAGCTTGCAGTGAGCCGAGATCGCGCCACTGCACTCCAGCCTGGGTGACAGAGCGAGACTCCGTCTCAGAAAAAAAAAGGCACCAGCACCAGGCTGAGCTGGCATGTGGGGCGGATGACCCCACTGTGGCCAGGGGCTGCTGGGGCTGAGCCGGCACTGCCTCCCTTTCCAGACAGAGATGCAGAATGAGACCGTCATAGTGGCCTGTGTGAATGCTGCCTCACCCTTCCTTGGCTTCAACAGTTCGCTCAACTGCACCACAGGTATGATGGGCAGGCGTCACCATCAGCGTGGCCCCTGCCAGCTCCCGACCCGGCCTCCTCTGATGGGGCCCTCTGGCTCCCCTGCAGCCTTCTTCCAGGGCTACCCCTTGTCTCTGAGCGCCTGGTCTCTCAGGGCCAACCTCATCATCCCCTACCCAGAGACAGACAACTGGTACCTCTCTCTGCAGCTCATGTGCCCTGAGAACGCTGAGTAAGTAAATCTAGGGCAGGGACGGGGGTCAGGCACCCTGTCATTTCACTCAGGATCACAGGCGGGCTGCCTGAGGTTGGCACTCTGAGTGACCCAGCTAGGGGGGTGCTTCTTCCAGGGCTACTGAAAGCTGGGGGCCTCAATGCTGGGTTGTCATGTCCGTCAGCCTCTTGGGTGTGCTGGTGGCAGCTGGGCTGTCAGACCACTGCACCAGCTTTCCTGTGGCCCCTTCCTCAAAGGGAGTGTGAGCAGGCTGTGGTCCATGTGGAGACCACCTTGTACCTGGTGCCCTGTTTGAACGATTGTGGACCCTACGGCCAGTGCCTCCTGCTCCGCAGACACAGCTACCTGTATGCCGGCTGCAGCTGCAAGGCAGGTGAGGGCCAGGGCCCTGCCCGCCCCGAGACGCTGCTGCTGTTGGCTTCCAGTGCTGTGCCATGCCTCTCCCCTGGGGAAGCGCCACAAGGGGCTGGAGAGAGACCCCTGCAAAGCAATGCAGGGGCAAAGCCTCCTCCCCACTCCCCTGTTCCCCACCAACAATCTGTCTGCCTGGCACAGGCACCAGGTATCCCCGGGGGTGATACTGCCTCCTGACCTTGGCCCCGCCCACTGTGCCTACCCAGCTTGCCCCTGGGTGATGAAGGGGCTTCTCTGCAGGGTCCTGGGTGAGGGGTGGGCCCTGAGTTTCAGCAGTGCCCCCAGCCTCCGCCGTGGGGTTTTGTGCCCCCAGGCTGGCGTGGGTGGAGCTGCACGGACAACAGCACAGCCCAGACGGTGGCCCAGCAGAGGGCAGCCGCACTGCTGCTCACGCTCAGCAACCTCATGTTCCTGGCCCCCATCACCGTCTCAGTGCAGCGATTCTTCCTGGTTGAGGCCTCCGTCTACGCCTACACCATGTTCTTCTCCACGGTAGGCTGGCCCCTCCTGCAGGGACTTGGGATGGGAGGGCGGGATGGCGCTCACGGAGCCTCTCCACAGTTCTACCACGCCTGCGACCAGCCCGGGGAGGCGGTGCTGTGTATCCTCAACTACGACACGCTGCAGTACTGCGACTTCCTGGGCTCCGGGGCGGCCATCTGGGTCACCATCCTGTGCATGGCGCGGCTCAAGGCAGTCCTGAAATACGTGAGTGGCACTCGACGTGGGGTGTGGGCTCTGGGGCAGCAGGGCCCCCAAGTGCAGCCTGCAAAAGGCAGTACCGTGGGAGAGGCCGGACCTGGCGTTGGGCACAGCCCCTGGGAACCTCACATCTCTCCCGAGCACGGTGGCTCTGGTGGCTCACACCTGTAATCACACCTGTAATCCCAACACCTGGGGGAGGATCCCATTAGGCCAGGGGTTCAAGAAATCGAAACGTTAGCTGAGCGTAGGGGGTGCATGCCTGTGGTCCCGGCCACTCGGGAGACTAAGGTGGGAAGATCGCTTGATCCCAGGCGTTGGAGGTGTTGGAGTGAACCGAGGTCACAGCACTGCACTCCAGCCTGGGTGACAAAAGAAAAGAAAGCTCATGTCTTCTGTGATGCCACACGGAGATGCGGGTCTGAGACCCTGCAGGCAGTTGTGAGGGGGCAATGCCGGCTGTTTGGAGGATGCCAGGAAGGAAGATGGTAGGCAGGGGAGGCCAGGCCCCCTACCCTCGAGAAGCCCCTACCCGTGCTCCCTGGGTCCTTGGTGCCAAGGATGCTTTGGGGACTCTGTGGCAGCTGGCCCTGGCATGGGGAGACTCGTGCCCTAGGTTTGTGAGCTGCATGCTCTGCCCTCCTGTCTGCTCTGGGAACTACAGGCTGGGTGCTGCCCCAAGGGGGTACCCATGGAGCCCCACAGCCAGGGCAGGGGGGAGGCTGGGAAACACCAGGGTCCTGCAGGGCTGAGTGCAGGGCCTGAACCTGCAGATAGGCAGAGAACTGTAGGTTGTGGGCAGAAGTGTCTGATGGAGACGGGGGGGGGTAGGAGCTCCTCCCTATGGAACAGTGGGCTGGAGACTGAAGCCACCCTGATGGGGGATTCCTGGAAACCCAGGGGTACAGAGGGCTAGTGAGTGTGTGGGTGCAGAGCTGCCATATGTGGCTGTCCAGTTTGACCACCCTGTAGTCCCCCAGAGGTGCCCGCCTGGCCACATTCACCTGTGGATGCAATGCAGAAGCTAAAGGAGGGGCGTGTCCCTGCCGGCTGGCAGAGCTGGTCAGAGGCTGGCAGAGCTGGTCAGAGGGTGGCAGCAGCTCCGAGGGGGCAGGCAGAGGTGCTGCGGGGCCCTGGGGTACACTTGCTCCTGCTGGGCCTTCAGCCCTCAGAGATGTCCCTGCAGTCATCCCTGTGTCTTGCCCAGGTGCTGTTTCTTCTGGGCACACTGGTCATCGCCATGTCCTTGCAGCTGGACCGCAGGGGCATCTGGAACATGCTGGGGCCCTGCCTCTTTGCCTTCGTGATCATGGCCTCCACGTGGGTAAGGAGCCGGGCTGGCTGGCACTGCTGCCCAGATGCTCGCAGAAGAGAGCCTGGCCCCTTGCTCTGGCCATGTTCCCGGTCTTGCTGATCGCTTGATCCCAGGCGTTGGAGGTGTTGGAGTGAACCGAGGTCACAGCACTGCACTCCAGCCTGGGTGACAAAAGAAAAGAACCCAGCTAGGGGGGTGCTTCTTCCAGGGCTACTGAAAGCTGGGGGCCTCAATGCTGGGTTGTCATGTCCGTCAGCCTCTTGGGTGTGCTGGTGG